TCTCTTTTCTCCCCGATTTTTCCCCCCCTGCCACAGGCTCGCCTCTCGGTCCTAGATGTTTCGGTTGCTTCGTCTTCTGTGAGTAGGGAATACGTCATTTTTCTGCTTTGGCCCGATTCGAGTGTCGTGGGTTCAAGGGGTGATCTTCTTTCTCTTCCCCTCTCCTCTGCCTAAAAACATAGTTCCTTTTTGAGGTTGTTGAAAAAAAAGTTTGCAAAAGAAAAGGGGTAGAAATTTTTGGCTATGAGAGAAGCTTGGCAAGGAGATTTCTGTGAGAGCATCTCCTTGAGGTGGTCTCTTGTATTGCGGTGCTTTACATTTTACATCAAGAGGGTACCTCTTCTTCCCCCTTTTCTTCGATGCCCTGTTTCCTTTCGGTTTTCCTCTTTGCCGAGCCTTTGAACTTGGCTCTGTTGGATGATACAGCATGTTAGTTCACTTTACTTTCATATATTTTTGAGATATTCACTTTAGGGGGCATGTGAGAGATGAAAAGTGAGCATGTTTTAGGAATTAGACTTGGATATTTGCTTAAAGTGGTGGAGATCATGGCATGTTCTTTGTTTATCCTATCATATTTATGTTGACAGTGATTTGGATAATTAAAGCATGGCTTTAGAACAATTTTACTCCTCTTGCAAGCATACTAGAATAGGGAGATTATTGCTTGTTTCATTCCTAAATGTGTTTTTACTCATTATTCATACATTTGTTATATGGGAATAACATTTAAAGGCTAGAAGATATATATCTCCTTCTCCCCTCCCCTTCCTCAGTGCCTTGCTTACCTGCGGTTTTCCTCTCTGTCGAGCCTCTCTTGCTCGGTTCAGTGGATAGTACAGCATGCTAGTGTAGTTTGCTTTCTTGTATTTTGAGATATTCAGCATGCTAGTGTAGTTTGCTTTCTTGTATTTTGAATATTCAGCATGCTTTACTTTCATGTATTGTATTTCAATATTCATTTTACGAGCATGTGGTAGTTCTATTTTGAGAGGTTTTAAAGGCATGAGGATATTGCTCTACTCTAACTTGTGGCTTAGTACTGGAGGTCTTAGTTGTAGCTTGGTTTCTGACCCTCACTTGGCTCGGTTTTGGCTTGGTTTGGAGGCTCGGTTTTGGCTTGAAATGACTAGAACTTTAACTTTTATGGAACCCTGGATTTTAATATTGTTGGGCTTGGTTTTGGTCCTTGTTGGGCTCGGTTTTGGCCCCTGTTGGGCTTGGTTTTGGCATCCCACGGGTGTCTTAGCTTAAATATATAAGTGATGAATGGATTATTGATTTGGAAGAATTCCATGGCTGAATTCGAACCTTAGTTGTGTCTCGGTTTTGGCTAGACTTGGGAGCTTGGTTTGCTTGTTTTAGGTCCTACTCGAGAGCCCATGATTGAGTCCTTAAAACTTGTCTTTACTCGAGAGTTTTGATGGTTTGCTTTGCTTGTCTTCGGTCCCTACCCGAGAGGTGGCTTTGCTGATTTTAATTCCTACCCGAGAAATGGCTTGGTTCTTTTTGATTCTTGTTGGTCTCGGCTCTTACCCGAGAGCCTGTTTTGGGTGTGTTGTGTTGTCTCCGTTCGAAGGCTGTTATTTGGTTTTGATGAATTGATTTGGCAGTTTATGAGGCCGCAATTTGATGTTTGCTTGGTGCCTAGCCGTGGGTTTGTGATGTGGTTGAATCAGCCTCCCTTTTGGTCCTTACCCGTGAGACCTATTGTAGGTCGTTGGGTGTGATTTGGTCCTTC